AGGGGTCAGGCATAGGGATACTCATATGGAGGTCAGTTCCACACGGGGGAATTAGCCAAGGGTTTAGCCTTGGAAGAGTAACGAGGATGGTGTTTGTAATGAGGATGTACTCAGCTGGCCTGATCTGAGCTCTGGGTGTCAGAGCAAAGACCATGGGAGAGAGATGATGGAAATGATTCTCCTTTCAAGTGCAGTCTCAGGAGTGATACAGATGTTGATAAAATTTCTGAGCTAGACCCCTGGATCAGCAAATGCACGTCCATCTGATGCCCACCCCAAGGTATCTTACCCGCCCTTTTCCATGAGCTTGACTGCTGTTTTAGCACCATGAAGACAGCTACAGTCCCACACACCTGCACACCCTCTCTCAGGTCACAAGGGGCACTATTAATAACACCCCCTTCCACTGGGTAGATAGAGCGTCATCCTCTTCCAAATCTCCACATCTGTCAGTGTTTTATTATCTCTCTTCACACTCCTGTGAGTGCCAGTGTGAGGTCCAGGCCAACTCCCTCAGAGTTGAGAAGACTCCAGCTGGTGACCCAGGGCTGTTAGCCAGGATTTGGTAAAAGGCAGCATCCAGGCAGAGGCAGGGCTGTGAGGCTGATTGTTTCTGCGATTAACAATTTAAAAGCCTGGCGTGTGTCTGAAAGGTACTCCTCTCCTAAACAAAACAAATCACAGACCTGAGGAGTGGGCGGCGTGGGGAACACATCTCTGGGTAGAGCAGTCATCTACTGACAGGCTAACGCTGAGTCTCAGTAATAGGCCATTTTCCCCATCGCTGCACAGAACCAACCAACCTCCAAGTTGCATCTAAGTTCTCATCTCTGGATATAGTTTCAGCTTTTTTTTTTCGGGCAAAGTCAACACAGTGAAACTTGCTGCACTTTGAAATACCCTCTCACGATGGTGTTCTAAATTTTATATGAAAATAGAAAGGACCTGGCATAGCTTAGACAATTGAAAAGGGAACAACGACACTGGAGGACTTACTCTGCCAGATTGTCAGATGTGCTTTAAAGTGACTGTCATCGAGAAGGTGTGGTCCCAGCATGGATAGAGACACGTAGGTCAATGAAACAGCATAGAGCCAGAAAGAGATGCTGGCCTATGTGGGCCATTGATTTTCCACAAAGATGCCAGGGCATTTGATGGAGAGGCAGCAGTCTTTTTTTATCATGTGGTGCTGGATCACCTGGAGACTCCTCTGGGAAAAAAGGTCCTCAACTTTGACCTCATGCTACACACAAAAGTTAACTCAAAATAGATCATTGAGTTAAATGTGAGTGCTTGAACTATACAGTTCCAGAAAAAAAAAAAATAGGGGCATTCTTTTTGACTTTAGGTTAGACAAAGATTTGTAGAACGATAAAAGCACAAACTAGAAAAGATAGCATTGATTTTATCCCAATTTAAATGTTCTGCTTTTTAAAGATAATCTTGAAGTTAAACCACAGACCAAGAGACAATGTTTTCTATACCTCTATCTATCTATCTATCTATCTATCTATCTATCTATCTATCTATCTATCTATTCACACACACATATATATTTTATTTATTTAGGCATACAAGAGCTGGGGTACAGGCCAGAGGTGTGTGTGTCGGGGGGTAGGCAGTGAAAGAATTTACCAGAGGCAGAGTGGGGAGCAGAACAGGTGGATCTACTGAAATAAACTGCTGAGGGGAGCAGCAGCTGAGATGAGGTCTGCTGTGCCATGTAGGTCAGCTCCCTGGCTGGGGCTCGAACTTGTGCTGCTGATAGCTTCATAGTGCTGAGACTTTACCCCTTGTGACACCAGGGAGGTCCTTCAATATGTTTCTGACAAAGTTCTTATATCTTGAATGTATAAAGAATACTTACCAATAAATAATACAGAGACAAGTGACCTAATATTTATTTATCATTATTTGGAAAATCTTTTATTGAAGTAACATTGGTTTTTAACTATGTAGAAAAATCCATCTGTAGAGACTATATTGTGACCAGCACTAAACGCACTCTGACCTTCCCTCCGCTGCCACCTCATTGACTTGTCCACTTCCCCCTCCCTCTAGTAATCACTGTTTTGATCTTATAGCTTAAGAGCTTGATTTTGTTTTGTTTATTAATTAGTTTTGCTTTTTTATCTTCCACACTTGAGTGAAATCATATGGTGTTTATCTTTCACCATCTGACTGACTTCACTAAACATAATTCTTTCTAGGTCCAGCCATGTTGTTGCAAATGGCAAGATTTCATCCTTTTTTGTGGCAGAGTAGTATTTCATCGTGTGTGTGTGTGTGTGTGTGTATAAACACACACATACATGTTTCTATTTATATTACATCTTTATCCACTCACCTGTCAATGGGCATTTAGATAAGCACCCTAATTTTTTGAAAGGGCAAAAGATTCTAATATATTTCACACACACACACACACACACACACACACATATGATTGGCCAATAAACATGTGAGAAAATGTTCCATATTATTTGTCACTAAGGAAAAGCAAATTAAAACCACAAAAAGCTACCTCTATACACAAAGTAGAATGGCTACTTTCACAACCACACCTCATTGCAGAGGGACCCTTACTCCTTGCAGGTAAGAATGTACAGTGCAACCACTTTATAGAATAGCTGGGCAGTTTCTTATAAACTGAGCAGAGGCTTGCTTCAAGCAGCAAGCTTAACCTAGTCTAGACTCAATATGGCAGAAATTCACTATAACGAGACCTCTCAATTCTACTCCTTAGTATTTATCCACATGAAATGAAAACCTGTGGATCCTAAAACTTGTGCCTAAAAGTGTGTAACAGCTTTATTTATAATAGTTAAGTGTTGGAAAATGTCTACTAGCACTTGTGTGGATAACAAATCGTGGTATTTCCGTACAATGGAATACAACTCAGCAATGAAAAAGAATGAATTCCAGATAAATGTAATAACATGGATGATGCTCAAAAACATTATGCTGAATGAAGAAGTCAAGATAGCAAAGAATATGTAATGTTTTATTTATTTGAAACCCTAGAAGACAAATCTAATGTATGGTTCTATAGAGCAGATTGGTGTTTGCCTGGGGTCAATGGGCTGGGCTGGGCTGGGACAGTAGGGAACTCTTTCCCATGTTGGAAATGTTTTATATTTTTCTTGTTGTTTGTGGCAATTACAAATCTTCCAAAATCCATCAAAATATGATTAAAATGGGTGCAATTTATTGTAAGTTGTACCCCAATAGTTAAATTAAAAATACGGTACAAGACATATTTAAAAATAAGTGAGTATATTTCTGCTACGCTAGTACAACAATAGTATTGACTAAAAAAAAAAGAAGGAACATCTCTGGAACGTCTGAAGTTAGGGCCCTCAAGGATTATTGTCTGTGATAATGACTCCCCTCTCTTGTTGCCCCCTTCCCAAAACTTGCTGTCTGGATGGAAATCAGAGAAAACTGTAGGCCAGAGAGAGGCTTCCTGTAGGGTCACTCTGGCTGAAGACAGACTAATATTCAGGGACCATGTAGGGGATTTGCCAAAAATCCAGCAGGCCAAGGGGCAGATATTCAGACTAAATAAAGCACTGGTTTGCAGGGTCTTACTCCAATTCAGTCATTTAAGAAATGCTTTCTTGAAAGTGTCTTTTTTTTTTTTCAAGAAGTGGAATTGGATTTTGTGATCCAGAAAAGTGAATATTTGGAGTTGCTTTCCGTTAGACTCTGAGCCTCACGAGAAAGAGACTTGTTCTTGCTGACTTGCATTCCCAGTGCTTGTGCCTGGTGCACATGGGATTCTTCATGAATACTTTGATTGATTGTATGATTAGATGAAGTCAGGATGAATGGATATGTTTATCCAATGTGCTATTCAAGATAAGCTAGGTTATGCTGCTGTAATGCACACTCTCTGAGTCTCCATTTGCTGGAAGGACAGACGCTTACCTTTCACCAAAGACTACAAAGTCCTCTCTGACTGCTGGGGGCTGGAAAACAGTTTTCCATGTTCCTAAACAAGAAAGGCTGTGAAAGGAGATTTGGTGAGCACCGAGCATTATTTCTGCCATATTGAGTCTAGAGCAGGGAAAGCTTGCTGTTTGAAGCAAGCCTCTGCTCATGGCCTGAGGAGTTTTGCAAAGGTGAGCATCTCCGGAGAGAAACTAAGGCTTCCTGATGTCTGTGTCACATGCCAAGCTCACTGGTCCTTTACACTTTAGCTGTGCAATTCCTTACCTGTCTGAGCTTTTGTCAGAAGAGCTAAAGTTCTGACTCATTCTTAGACACTTGCTTAAGGCTTATTTCTTCTAGGGACCCAAGCCTCATCTGTGGCCATGACTAACCTGTGGGATGGCTGTTTATTCATTTATCATACACCTCCCACTTCCCTCTGGGTAACACCAAACTAGGTGAGCCCTGGAAAATAGCACACATTATGGCTTGTGGCTGTTTGTCCTCTGAGAAGCTCAAGAGCTCTGGCCCCAGGTCCCTTTATTACCAGCCTAAGTGATGTTAATCTGCCCTCTTTCCTCTAAGTTGAGGCTGGAGCATAATGAACAAAAAGGCTTAATCACTCTGGTATCAAGATATTCCTTTCCGTCTGTGCAAATGTTCTTGGGTGTGTAATGTGAACATGCTGCACTCATTTGGAGCCATTGTTCTCTCTAAATGAGAAAATGCAAATAAGGCACTCAGGGTACCACGCCATAACTCGCTGCATAAAATTCTTGACATCAACATGAAGCTACTTAGCATAATTTTCCTGTTAATAAACTGCCAATTTAGTCGTTTAGGTTTCAGCGTCTAAAGAACACAGCAGCATCAGGCTGGAGTTTTTTTTCCCCCCTCCATGTATGCCTGAGTTTATTATTTTGATGTTTATGTTAAAACATAGGAAATTGGAGTTTATGCGATTATTTGGAGATCTACCCTAATTTGTTTACTTTCATAATTCAGGGAATCTTTGCTCATTTGAAAAACAAAACAACATTTTTTTCGGTGCATTTTCTTTTATACAGGACAAAATCTCCATATTTAAAATGACTGAGGAACATTTTGAGGACTGAATTGAGTCTGCACTGAAGGCATCGCAGCAGGGGCTATGCCTACACCCCACGTGGAGACTTTGAGGGAACCCAGGGCTTGAGGGGAACCTTGGCGATGCCTGGGATCCCAGGTAGGTGCGGATGTCTTGTTTCTGGAGGCCTCTCCCCTGACCTGTGCTCTCCACCTTCCTGGCCATGGCCCCGCCTTGCTAGCCTCCTTTATGGTCGCTTACCTCTTCATTCAAAGTCTACCCCCTATTACTGACTGTGTGCCAGTCATGGAGGTGATGCTGGGGTCACATACCCTAGTGGGGGAGACAGATGTTACTCAGTGAGTCTTATTGCCACCAATCAAAATGCAAAGTAGAAAGTGCTGGTGCTATGGGAGAATAAAGGATCAGACGAAGTTCCTGCCTTTAAGAGCGTATAGTTCTTAAACCATGGCTGGTGGAAGTTTACCACGTTTAAGTTTCCTGCCAAGTTTTTGCAGTTCTCCAGGTTGTTGTGAAGTATAGATGCGGCTGTTTGGGGCACCAACAATGCAGAGCTCTCAGCTTCTGGGCAAGATGGCTGGAGGACAGCCCAGGCTGTCCTCTGTAGCCGCCTATTAGATGTCGTAGCTTTTTTGTGTAGATTCTTTAGATCTTTGTAGCACACCATGGTGATGTCTGCAAATACAGATCATTTTATTTATTCTTTCAAAAAAATAAAAGAGCACGAGCTTCCGATCAGACAGGCAGGGGCCAGGTCTGCCCTGCGCCATCCGTAGGTGTGCGCCTCGGTCTCCCATTTGTAGGCTGAGGACTGAGTCACAGCTGCTGGGAGGATCAAATAAGATGGCAGATCACAGTAGCTGGCATGTGGCAGTGTTACCGGGCAGAAGGTCCAAAATAGTCAGCAGATCAGTACCCCTCTCTCGGCTTCTGGGGCTTACCACCCACTGCCACAAATGCAGCCCAATACTATTCTAACCAACAAGGGAGAGGGAGAGAGGGGGATGGGCTAATGACCACAATGGTGCCAAGTGGAGCTGCTCTTCCAGAAGCCGGCAGGGTGCAGCAGAGGTCTGCCCTGCTGAGGCCTGGTCACCCGGTATGGGGGAGTAAGGGCCCGCATGGTGGGATGGCTGTTACCCGCAGCAGCTCCCAACAAAAGGACACTAGGCCCATGGGTGCCTCTTCCTAATAAAGCCTCCCAAAATGGCCACTCAGCTCACCTCCTTCCCGGCAGGACTCTCACTCAGGACATCAGGGTGTAGGTCAGTCCATGGCACCGGCTGGTGTCATCCTCTCCTGCCTGCGTGTTGTCTAGACATCAGGGACAGAGTTGGGCCCCTCATCCTGGCTGGGAGAGGTTTGGGCCCAACCACAGGTCATGCCAGCCCCACTGAAGGCCTGGGAAATGCAGGTCTCAGCGTCCTGGCTTCTCCAACAGAAGGGCCTTTGTAAGTCATGATTATTTCATGTTTCCACTGAGGAAGGAGCGTATTGCACAGGAGGTGTGTCTTTTCCATGTCCCCTGTGGAGGCCGGGGCAGAGCTGGAGGTCGTGCTGTGTGACTTGTCCCTGGAGCCCCGCTGAGCCCTGGTGGCGTTTCCAGAGTCTATGGTCAAGTGGACGTGAGTCCGGGAGAAGCAGGTTCCTCCTGCTGGGGCCTCATCACCATGGGAGACAGGCTGCAGCTCTCTCTGGGCTGGCCTGGTGGCGCAGTGTCCAGCCACTCTTGGGAGCAGGCTGAGGGGCAGTGGGCACCCTAGGATGCGACGTGTGCTCCCTGCCTCACCCTGGCAGGAGGAGCTGAGTGGCTGTTTCCCTGCTCTCTGTGTTGGAAGAAAACAAGCCATCCCATCCCTGTTAGTTTGGTTGTTTCTCTTCTCAAGCCTCAGATCTTGTTCAAGCAGGGAGATCAAGGACTAGACACCCGCTGTCCCCAGCTCCTCCCTCTTCTCCCCTACGCCTAGGATGGGGAGCAGCTTGGTTTATGTAATTAGATGAAAGCTGCCTGGCGGAGCTTGGGCTGGTCCAAATGGGGCATCCTGGGAAGATGGAAGGATCTTCCAAGAGCAGCCGGGGAGCTAGCTTGAGTGGATGGTTCCTAGAATCAGTGCATCCATCTGCCTTCTTGGGAATTCTGTGGTCTCTGTTACCATTTGTTCTTTTGCGTGTACAGTAGCAGCAGCCAGTTCTGGACCTGGCAGGCTTGGGACAATTGAAGCCAAGCAAGTGAGGGAGATCCGGAGCAACTTCCCGTTAAATCAGATGCTGTGATCAAAGCAAATGTTGGAATGAATATGCCAACCTATAATTTATCCTTTTCTCCTTCTAATCATTAGTGGTTTATCCTATTAGGAATTATATAAATGTAAAATATGATCTAAAATGAGCTACAAATAAATACACCTTTATACATTTTACTTTAAATTTTCAAGATAAAGTCTCAAAAGCTTTTATTTACTCTTCACTGTGGAATTTGGTCCTGTTTTGAGTGGCTTCACAGAGGCCTTTGTCTGCTACCTGTTATCCTTGGAGAACAAAGACCTCCTCGGGGATTTCTTTGTAAAACCTTGATTGAAATATTGATGTTAAGAGTAGGACATAATTCTAGCCTTCCAGTGAGTCTCAGATACCAGGTTCTATTTGCTCATCTGTCTGCAGCCAGGGGGAGAGGAAGAGGGGAGCAGCCTTGAGAGCCAGGTCTGCTCCCCAGGGCTGCCTGCAGGACTGTCTTCAGGTGCCTGCAGGGCCCACATGGGAAGCTGAAGCTACTGGGGAGGAAGCCTGGCCACGGCCCCTGGTGTGGTCCAGTCTAAGCCAGCACGCTTGCACAGCCCGGTGGGCATCAGCCTGCAAAGTGGCTTTCGTGGGAATCCTGGCCCTTGTGCCCTTTGGCTTGGGGCGCTGCTGTCTGTCTGAAGAGTCTCTTGGGACACAAGCGGCCAGACCTGTTGATTTCTAGGCTCAGCTCATGCTTGTGACCTGATGAGGTAGTTCTTTCCTGCACAGACCTTAAGTGCTTTCTCAGTGTGAGGCTTCACCTCACATCTGGGCTCTGTTCCCAGGGCTTCCTGCCTGACGGATGACCGGTTTCCTCCTCCCTGCCATTGTGCAGCTCTTGAACTGAATATCAGGGCCCCTTGGTAGCTTGCTAGGCCACATTGAGGGTGAGAGGCAGGGCTGGGTTTGAACTCACTGGCGTGGCTCTGGAATTCATGCTTTGGCTCACACCCCGCGACTGTCTCTCTGAGGTCCTGCTCTCTGCGGGAGCACTGGGGACAGTGTAGCAGGCAGGGCCCCTCAGCTTCCCTTTTCAACCCCAGCAGGCCTATTTAGGAAGCACCACAATTGCCCTATCAAGACTGCAACGATATCATTGATTTTAGTGGCATTTAGATCACAAGAGCCTGTTTGGAGCGCGCCCCAAGATTTATGCTCCCCATCCATTAACTCTAATGGGAAACATCTGCATAAATCATGAGCAGCAATGGAGAGCTGCGACTCTGACTTGCCCTCTGTGTATTTTAACAGCTGCTCTGAACGGGAAGGCTCCCCTCAAGTTATCACGAGGCCCCTTGTATTGTGGCTTGTGTTCTTGGAGAGACCTGTGCTTGGGAGAAAAGTCCAAAGAACTGGGCTGAATGTTTGGTAACTGTGTGACCTCAGGTTCTTGTCACCTCTGAGCTGTTCTTTCTTCTCACCTATAAAATGAAGGGAAACCCTTGGTGTGATGTTGAGAGTTAACCCCTGCGCCCAGAAAATACCAGCGCTTTTTCCTTCCACCATTTCTCCTCTCAGTATAGGGGACCCAACCGAGGTTATGTTGTTCATTGGTGCGTCCATCCTGGGGTGGAGGGTACTGCCAACTGAGCATGCCAACCCGGATCTGGGGCTTGGGAGATGGGCTCTGAGGCCAACGAGTGCAGTCAGAGGCAAAGGTTTCTTCTGGTCACTTGCTCATCTGTCCCTGTCCCTATTTGCTCTTTCACTCATTCTGCAAGTTCTTCATATTTTCCCACCAGCATTTATTTTAGGGTTGGGGGTGAAAGTGAGGCAGTTGCATCAGATGATATGGCCATCCTAGTGTGTGGTTACTCTTACCTCTGCTCTTACCTTCCCTGATTATCAAAAGCCATTCCATTTTCTTGCAAACAACCGTTGAGAAAACTGGTCCTTAAAGATTGTTTTCTTTTTTCCTGCCTGTTTGCGCTTTCCCCTGTGTTTGTACACTCATCAGACAGCACAGCCAACTGCCCAGGTCTGGCTCACGCTTTGCAGTCAGCTCTCTGGGCTCCTCTGTCTGGTCGGCTGGGGCCGAAGGCCTTGCAGTGGACAGTGGATGAGGACGAAGTTGTGGCCACCCCTGGGGGTGGGGCATGTGCTCCCTGAATGTGTAAAAGTTCGTATGGGATGGGGTCCCTGAAGGATCAGGTCAAGGAACATGAGAAAAAGGGTGCCATGTGATTGTCCTCCAAATTGGGGCCCTGAATGGTGGGGACACTAGTAATACATGCAGTGGGCAGGAGGCAGAGCTCATGAGGGCCAGCAGGCCCACTGGGGCTCTGGTTTCCCCGACATATCATGCTGAGAGGTGAGGGAAGGCTTCGTGAAGGGAGGCCTTCAGGACGGAGCCCATGAAGCCAGCCGTTGGTGTTAAGGCTGCGGATTCCCAGAGGCCTGCTTTGGTCAGATGCCGCTGCCTGTCCCTGAGAGGAGCATTTTGCATGGGTCATTCTTGCCTTTTCCAAGGACTCAGTGACTGGGAGTACTGATGGCTGAGGCCTGAGCTTTGGGCGGGGGTGCCGACACTGCCGTGGGTTCCACCCCAGCCTGTCCACACCCGTCTCAGTTGTGACTCCGCCGATGCAGGTCTTCCGAGACTGCAGAGCAGGGAGGGCGATGTCCCTGGGCTCGGCCGGCTTGTTTTCTAGACTCAGTCCTCCTGCCAAGCGTGCTCCAGGGAGAGCACATCCTTCCACAAATTTATGGAGATGTGTCAAAGCCCTTTCATAGCCAAGCCAATAAAAATACAATTGATGGCGGACATAAAGTCAGGGGCCGGCCTTCCTCTCCCAGGGTCCTTTCGGGCCAGCGAGGGGCAAGAGCGTTCCTGATGAGGCGGCTGCACCTGGCCCATC